CGCCAGGGCTTGGCCTGGAACTCAGAAGTGCATTTCTATCAATAGGCATCCCCTTGTGTTGTGTATCTATTGATAAATGTATCACCCCCATTTGGATGTCCACCCCTAGGAACTGAGTCTTTTTTCCATTAGTAGGGTCTTACACACTGAGAGATGATTCATTAACAGGCTGCAGTTCCATACTCCCTCGGTTCCCCGTGGGGAGGGTCATGTGATCTCTCCCTATGCTTCTCCTCCAATCCTGCGCTGCTTTGGCCCCCGGTGAGGTGGCACTGACATGACAGCAGAGTCCTGAGAGCTCCTGGAGACTCTCCTCCCTGCAGGGAGGTTATACCGGTGCAGATTTCGGGCTGCTCCACCGTGCGCTCCCACGGTGATACCTGCAGACTGGAAAGGCCTTGCGCTCTTCCACCCCACAGCAGAGACGAGTTTCTCTCTCTCTCTCTCTCTCGATCCCTCCCTGGAAAAACAAAACCCAATCTGGTTTTCGGGGCAGGCCTGCCAGATTCCTGCGGAGCTGGTGTTTTCTCTTCATAAATAAGGGATGAAGGGGAAGCTTTAGCCTGGCACACAGAGGTCAGCACTGTCCCTGACTGAAAAGAAAACGCAGTGCAGATTCACCTTACGCAGTGAGCGCCACATTTCAACACACATCTGACCTCCATTACAGTTGTACCCACAGTTTTTCATTTGATTCAATCATCTAGTCCTTCACAAACAAACCCTCAGTATGAGCTGCCTCAAGGGCCCTGCCTGCTCAGCCGGCAGGTTTTATAGCCTGTTATTCAATCCTCCATCGGCGAAATGCCAGTGCAGCCTCCTCATAAAGTCACCTGTTGAGCAATCACAATCTTCCCACGAGTTGAATCATCTCAATTTGTGATTGCAGAGCCAGATGTATCAGTTTTGCACTGTTTTTTTTTGTCTGAGCTTTTTATTCATTTCATTATTTACGAGAAAAGAAATACTGAAACAGAAATGCCCATTGATGCTATAAGAACCTTATATTTAATTATGTCTTATGGAATAACTATAGAATGAAGACAATTATACTTTAAACCAAATATTTTAAATGTTCAGTTCTTTTCAAGAATGCTATATTACTGTTTGATTCCTCATTACAACCTTTGTGCTTTCCTGTCAATGTCAGTAGATTTCTTAAGAGGTATTAAAAACTGCAACAACCTCAAAATAAATGGCTGGATAATCCCTCCTCAACGTACAGACAAAATGTGACCATTAGAAAAAGAGAATGTTTCAGTACATTATACTCAGCTATTCACTTCTCAGCTTAACCATTGTCAATTGTTTAAATCAGCCCTCTGTCATGGATTTGCACCGCACTATAAAACTTTGCCCATGCTGAATTTTTAAGACTACAGGGCTTGTTGCCCATATGCAGAAACATTTCCCTCCGTATCCACAGAATTTATGGCAAATGGCAAATATGTGTTAGCCTCTGTTCTAAATTGGGAATGACTTCTGCTTTAAAGTTAAATTCTTCTGAGGTAATTCCTCTGCCGTGGTCCTTTGTTTAGATCTTCCAGCTGTCCATTTCTGATTTACAGCCAGGATCAATCTCTGGAACTGAACACAGTGGGCATGTGCCAAACAATGCAGCTATTGTGGGCTGGGAATTCATACTGCTTTCGAGAGGTTGTGAGTGGATGGAAAAAAAATTTTCGTTCTGCAGTGCTTTGCAGGGGTTACAGTAATGAATCAGCTCGTCATGAATGTTGCTGAGGGTTTTAACAGTTTGTTTATCGTAGTCCTTTTCTGCCTTTAAGATGAAATGTCAGAATATTCGTATTAATATCAATATCTCCATTCATCCATTGGCTTTTTGGATGGAAGCAAAACTTTCAGATGCAAAGAATGATCTACACATGCATACCACATGCACATGTGTAACTACATACACTCTGAATCATTACATTACATTACATTATGTTACATTACAGTACATTACGTTACATTCATATGGCAGATGCTCTTATCCAGAGTGACATCAGGCACAACTATAATCACACCTTACAGTAACTTATTGCTTGACTTATTGCTTACTTTTTTCATAATTTAGTCTATACAGATGGATGCTTCTTCACTTTGGGTTTAGAACCTGGTTCAAGGATAGAACAGCTCCCAAGGGATTGAATCTTTCGATCTTAAGTCCAGATCTTAAGTCCAGGCCATACCTGATGTAGATCCACCTAGCTTCATCTCAGCTCATGTTTGCTCATGCCCAGACAGGGCAGGAAAACGCACCATCCTGCAGTGAGAGGCCAATCTCTGAATCACTGCCCTGCAGAGGGAGTCTTAATGTCTGTGCCAGTTCGTGAGCACAGATGCAGTCAGCTGTCAGTATCGGGACATCAGCGACGGGAGAGCAGAGATAACGGGACGGGCGCGTGCCTCTCCAAACGGCTCACACCACACGAACACATCTGCGCAGATAAACCTGCCTCCCCCCCGAACATGCCGCACATGCACCGGCGCCAAGGAAACAGATGTTCCGCTTTGACCGGTATCTGTGATGGAATGCTGTAATCTTCTCAAGGATAGCCCGGAATGGTAGCGTACATCACCATTCCTTCTGACTGGTTCTTGCTGCAGGGCTTGACTTCCATGCACCAGTGCCCTGAAGGGGTTAGCGGTGGCAGGGTAGCATAGTGGTTAAGGAGTAGGACTCATAACTAAAAGGTTGCTGGTTTGATTCCCCACTGGGGCGCTGCTGTTGTACCCTTGGGCAAAGTACTTACATTGTAAAAACCTGTAATTGATGTAAGTTGCACTGGATAAGAGCATCTGCTAAATGCCAATAATTTAATGTGATGGTTCTCACTGCAGGGCTTGACTTCCATGCACCAGTGCCCTGATGGTGTAGTATGGCTTTTAATGTGAGGATATTTCTTTTTCACACAGAGTGTGGAGCGGGAGGAGCCTATTGAAGTAGACCCACCCCAAACTGCTACAGTGCTGGAGAATGGGCACCAATCAGCATCAGGTCAGCACTGATGTGTATGCCCATGCCCATGATATACCTCATAATCACATACCCACTATTGTCAAGTTGGGTGCAGTAATCCTCATAACCAATGAGTGTAGTCATTGACATGAACTGGCAGTTAATGTTTCACTCTTTCTGTATCCTGTCTTATCCAATCAGAAAACTCTGTGGTGCCTCATAGAGAGCCTCCACTGGAGCATGCTGCCCACACATCTATGGTGAGGCCACACCTGCCCATCACTGCCACAACCAAAGTTGCTGAATCCTCTGCCGCCTCGTTAGCCAAGACCCCAGAGTCGCCGACCAGTCCCGTACGCAGCCAGTCCTCTGTTCTGGCGGAAGCGCAGCCAGCTAGCCAACCAGTAGGGGGCGCTCCACCTCACACGACAGCAGAATCTACCATTCAACCAGGTGAGAGGAACGTGAATATGGGACCTGAGCGATCAAACGTTACCCTTCCCTCATCTCTCACCCTCTCCTTCTCGCTGTTTTCTGTCTCTCTCACCCCGTTGCTGTCTGTCTGTGTTTGCTGCTTCAGCGTCTGCAGTGAAGACATGGACTCCTGGTCCAGTGAGGACAATGGGCTCTCCTCGAATGCCAGGTAAGAGCACCCCTGCGCCCCATTGGTCAGTTTGTTTCACTCCTTTGTTCACCCACTTCCCTCCAACCAGCTCCTGCTCACCTCTGATTTGCCTCATTATGCAATTTCTGACAGAAACAGATTACCTAATAACCTGTCTCTCTGTCTGTCTTTGTGGGAGTGTATCATGTTACGCCTGCCAGCACGTTAATCCCTTACATGCTTTTTGGATTGTCATTTACAGATAAGGCCTCCTCTTTGCCTTCCAAGTCAGTGACTTATTCAGGCATTGGTCCAGCCAGCGCAGACAGGTGAGCAGCTTAAATTGAGAATACTCCAGACAGACTGTAATGGCATTCCCCGTTTCTTTCCGAAGAGAGAATCAGAATGAGAATCAGACTTTATTTCTTCCACACATACAAGGAAGGATTCTGGTTCCTTTGTCTCTCCTAGTCCTTTCATACAAGGTCACAGTGAGAACAACAAATACCAAACAACAGAAGTGATACAACAAACAACAACAAACAGTAGTGCAGGACACATACATGGAAGAAGGAATGAATGAGGTATATATGAACATCTACCGACCAATGAACATGAGTTAAAGTATACGTGAGTGTAGACTGTGGATCTGTACAACTATTAGTTATATGCAACTATTGCACTGTGTTATATACAGCTACAGAGTTCAGTCTGGTACCCAGACGTTTAACAGACAGTCTGGAGGTTTGGAGGTTCTTCTCCTGAGGTGACAATGCAGAGAATGCTGACAGAAGGCGGGGGTCTTCTCACCTCCCCCCTCCTCCGCAGGGACGTGGACGTGGGGGGGCAGATGTCCTTCGGGAGGGGCGTGGAGCGCAGGCGAGAGCTGGTGAGGTCACAGACGCTGCCCCGCACCATGGGGGCACAGGCGAGACGCTCCCTCTTTGAGAGGCTGGACTCCGACCCCAACAAGTACGTCCTGCCCCTTCCCCCTCTCCCCTCACCCCCACCCCCCGGGGTCTGTCTCACATCCCCTCAGCCCCCCATCTGAAACCCTCTGCTTACCCAGGCCCGGCGCTATGGGGGTGTTTAGGGGTGAGCTGCACCCCCAAACGGACCTCAGCGTACCCCCAGTTTTCTCTTTATATCCCGATGTCTACATAGTATTTACAACCTTTTGTGCACCCCCGTGGATCGCAGTTGCACCCCTCTGTATTTTCTCCTGGCACCGAGCCTGTTCTTTACCCCACACTCCACACTCCCCACCTCCTCTCCTCTTTCATTTATTTCAAAATCTCTGTAACTCAAACTCTAGCTCATTCCTTACTGCTTCTGTGCTCATTTTTTTATTTTCCTGCTCATCTCATTCTCTCTGCTCTGCTCATTTCACATTCATTGCTATGAAGATTAAGTAGCAGCAGTTATAAGGGCAGCAGTGTAGCATAGTGGTTAAGGAGTAGGACTCATAACTAAAAGGTTGCTGGTTCGATTCCCCACTGGGGCACTGCTGCTGTACACTTGGGCAAGGTACTTAACCCACAATTGCCTCAGTAAATATCCAGCTGTATAAATGGACATTGTAAAAAACTGTACCTGATGTAAGTCGCTCTGGATAAGAGGATCTGTTACAGGCCAATAATGTAATGTAATGCTCTTTTCACCTGCCCCACTCATCCTCACCTGTACCCTCTGATGAATTTAGTTTCGACTGTCCCTCTGTCCTGCTCTTCAGGCCCAAAACCCTGGACTCTAAGCCCAAGCTGAAGCGCTCTCAGAGTTTCGGGGTGTCCAGTGCCAGCAGCATTAAGCATATCCTGCTGGAGTGGTGTCGCTCCAAAACCATTGGATACCAGGTGAGTCGCCATGGCTCTTGACACAGGTAGAAACATTAAACATTGGTTCCTAAGAGGATGAGGATAACAGAAGTTATGGGCTCTTTATTTGTTTTTGTCTATTTGTCCTATAAGGAAAGGAAAAGTCCCATTGAGGTATAATTATGGCAAAGAGGCAGAATCAGACAATTTTAACATATCTCACTTTCAAACAATGCACACGTTATAACACACATTAAGCAATATAACAGCACACAGTACATAAATGAGCTCAATCAGCAAGGAATTCTGCAAAGAAAAGGTTAGAAACAGGAGCATGCTTTGGTTACAGTATTGTGGACGGTGCTTTTAGCCTCAGTAAGGGAAACAAGGGCCTCCATTTTTAACTTTAATCAGTAATTATATTTAATTATACTCCACCGTGCATTAATGCCGGTTTGCTTTTAAGTGCTGTGCAATAAATCACATTGACAGCAGTGGTGCCTGTGTGATTCAGTGCACTCTTTGACCAAGCCATAAAAATTCAAACCTGCAGTGTCTGCTTTTTTGCTATCTGTTGTTTACTCCGCTGTGTGTTAGGGTTGTAGATACAGTGCTGTGAAAAACGGGTTAGCAGTGCACAGCGCACTAACTGCGTTATGATTTCTTGCTCTGGACCGGTGTGCAGTGCTGTGTCTGTTTGAGTTATGTTGTGTGTATAATGCGCTGGCTGTACGATCCCGCTGTAGCTGCCCCTTGCCAACCCATCCATGTGGCTCTGGTTAAACGGAGCCTTGTCTCAGCCAAGGCTAATATCAAAACAAATTGCCTCACTGACATTTAGATTAGAGGACAGGGCTGAGAGCGCGAACCTCTGAGCGCCGGAGTCACCGCGTTACCGATACGCGGGATTCTGTTCCACAAGCTGAGCTCGAGGCAGGAAATACTACACTGACTCATTAAGGACAAAGCATGCGCAGACTCAAGAGGGTACAGAGGAAGAGTGCATTTCTTCCATTGTGACAGTGGACACAGAGTCCGAGAGAGCTGGTTTCATGAAGTTAAAATCCGCGTCCGATCCATTTTTCGGCTCAGTTTCCTGTGGTTGCATCCTGTCCTCACTTCCTGTCCGCTTCCTCTCCACGCCCCTGTCCGTCCGTCTGTATGTCCTCCCCTCCTGCCGCCTCCCCTAGAACATCGACATCCAGAACTTCTCCTCCAGCTGGAGCGATGGGATGGCCTTCTGCGCCCTGGTCCACTCCTTCTTCCCCACCGAGTTTGACTACAACGCGCTGACGCCCTCTGACCCCAAACACAACTTCGAGGTGGCCTTCGGCACGGCAGAGTAAGTCTGTCACCTGTGCGCGTGTTTGTGTGGTCGAGTGTGTTTTGATGGGTAGGGGTGGCAGCACGGTCCTATGCATGCAATAACCCTCTGCTCCATGCTGGTGTAACATCAGGACTGAATGAATGATGTATTTATGTAAGTGCTCTACCCATTTCTCTGTCTCACACCGATACCCTTACATCATCACAATCTTACCAGTCCAACATAAACATATTGCGAGTGTCTGTGCTTTTGCTTGGATGTACATGCATTGCATTCCTGTGTACCACTGTAAGCACCATACTTTTGGGTTGACAATGAAATCAGAAAACTATCAACAGTGAGCTCACAATCAGACCTCTTTTAACCGTGGCCCAGATCATAGTGTTCCAGTGAATGAGTATGTAAGTGTGTTTGTCAAGGAAGTGTGGTCACAATCCCAGACCATTCTCAGAAATAGCGTCCCTAATCCAACCTCGAGCCCATACTGCCAGCACCCCTCCCCCTCCCCCCTCCCCCCGTCTCTCCATCTCTCTCACCATCCAGACCCCCCCCCAATCTATGTATTACATTCCTGAAGTCTGATATCACACTACTCAGAAAACACTGCTGCAACTCGACCAAGCTGGTGTAACTTGGCACACATTACACGATTACACACGATCACAGTCTCTTGCTCTTTTACTCTTACACACACACACACACACACTCACACAAAAACACATGCACACACATACATATTCTCTTATCCATCCAACACAGAGTTACTTATACATAAATATTATAAACATTCATGCTGTTAGTCATATGCTTGTATACCTATGCATGATAGTATAACAGTTGTTTAACAGTTGCTAGTATACTAATACCCAGACAACACATTCAGTCACTCACACACATGTACAAACACAATCTTTCAATCACATATTAACAGCTACACCCACGATTTTACATATGGGGCAGCAGTGTAGCATAGTGTAGCTTAGTGGTTAAGGAGCAGGACTCATGACTGAAAGGTTGCCAGTTGCCAGTTCGATTCCCCACAAGGGCACTGCTGCTAGTACCCTTGGGCAAGGTACTTAATCCACAATTACCTCAGTAAACATCCAGCTGTATAAATGGATAAAATTGTAGAAAAAAACCTGTAATTGATGTAAGTCACTCTGGATAAGAGCGTCTGCTAAATGCTGATAATGTAATGTAATATATATACACTCCCTCACCCGCCCCCTGTCTCTGTCTCTCCCAGGGCAAAGGCAGGCTGTGATCGGCTCATCGAGGTGGAAGACATGATGGTGATGGGCCGCAAACCTGACCCCATGTGCGTCTTCACCTACGTCCAGTCCCTCTACAACCACCTGCGCAGGTTCGAGTGAGGGCGGGACGCCCCCCTCCTCCTCGCTAATCCGCCCCTGTCCACTCAGGGACAGAAAAACTATGAAAGAGACCACCGTACCCTCAGAATGGTGGACCGGACTTAACCCTACCCCAGCGACCTGGAGTGACCATGTGCCTTGAGGATGGAAGTAATCTAAGCGCCCTTGCCCGGGGTTAGCTTTCACCGCGGGCTCACCTAAACGTAGAGGACGACCATTCAAACTCTACCGCTGACGCCCATCTCAGTTATTCTCCGACCAGCCCTGTTTCTGTCACTTTCTCCCTCTCCATTCCCTGCTGCTCAGCTCACACTGGCAAAAGCTGAGGAGGAGAGGGGCCGTGAACTCATCAGACCTGTTTGTTTGTTGGTGGCTGATTGAAGCGCCAGATGCGCCTTGGCCCACAGTGAAAACATCTGCTGCTGGGACAGTGAGACCCACAGAAAAAAGATCCTTCAGGCCTGAAGCATTTGATCACAGTGTAGAAATACTTGCCTCGTCTCACTGCCAGTGTTTTAGAGCTACGACGGCAGATACGCTGAAGCTCAAAAACTGACTCAAACGGGGAAAAAAAAAAATCCATTGACTGCACTGCCAAGAAGGTCACATCTTTAGTCACGCTGAACATTATTTTTCGTAAACAGAGAAGGTGATTTCATGCCACCCCAGGGAGCTGGAGACTGTAACTGAAGGCACAGGTTTGGAGAGAGAGCTTGGAAGGGGCTGGGCTTCACTTTTCCATCCTTGTTTTGTTTTTTTGGAATGTTTGACTTGTGTTTGACTTTATTGCTGTTAACGGGCGATTTGTTGTTATACTGCACTGTAGTTTGTTAAAGTGTTCCCTGCGTAAACCTCACCAAAGTGCCTGTGTGCCCTCACGCTGTGGTCTCAGAGACTACAGACATGCTAGAGAGATGACCTGACAATACTTTGAAAGTTCGGTTCCTACAATGCTGAAGCAACAGGGTCTCTGTAAAATGCAGGTTCTTCTGAATGTTCATGTGTACTGGGAATTTGTAGCCTAAAATTCTTGTAGCTGCAAATTGTTCAGAACAAAAAAAATTCAAGGCCAGCCTCCCTGTGAATATCTGAGTATAGAAAAAAGAGATCAATCTCCACTGTGACTCTTGAAGGGACCGTAAAGAACAAAGAGCGCTGGGACTTATTACAGAAATTTAGGTCTGTTTTTGCTGTAGTAGCCCATGGTATACCAAAGCTATCCTCGTCACATACTGGTACAGTAGCCCCATACAGAGAACTACAGGTAAAGAGGTAACACACTCCATTGCTGGCTGTATGTTTGCTGTATTAGTTAAGAGAGTGTATGTAGTTCATCCTGACCTGCGAAGAGCTGCACTTTTGCTGGTGGCTGCGGGCATGGTCCGTAAGAAGACGAGGAGAACCCACGTGACTGCGCTTCCGCAGTCTTCGTTTTTTTTGGACTGCCGCTGCAAAGTGTAAAACCAAAATAAATCAATCTGCACACATTTTACAAAGCGTGGACTTCATCACTCGTTTATATAGCCTACTACTACTGTAACTTCAGGGGTGTTAAGCTAGATATATGAAGCACATATTATGGTTGGGGAGCAGTGTCTGTCACGCATGAAGAACATTTTAATTCAGTTGAGCAGCCTAATGTTTGAAATGATGTCGCCGGCTGCTGGTCATATTGAGTTACTGCACACGCCTACTTCATGCTTGTCTGTAGGATTTGCGTTCGATGGATGCATGGGGGGTGTTCGCCACAACAAAAAGGAAGAGGCTACGTTCTTCTTATTATTGTTACAAAATTCGCAAAAGAACCGTACCCAAGAATATTCAAACGTTTAGACTTACAGTCTTGTTCCGTGAATGACGTTTTTCCTGTCGGCAATCTATATTCCTAACTCTAAGACATCATGTATATCCGAGACGTTGTAGCCGATGAAGATTCCAAAAAGAAATTGTCCGTATTGAAACGTAAACGTAAATATAAACAACAATCA